AAGAGATAAAATGCAAACTTGTGATTAGAAGTTCTCATTAACTTCTCTTGGATGGCTCTCTGGTCAGCATACAGGCTTTTTCACTCTTTGAGATGCACACTTTGACACTGTACATAGAGCTTGGAAACCCAAGGTTGGGTTTCATATTCTACTTCAGATTCAAGAACCTAAAATATAGGAAGTAAATATAATTTGCAGATATCATAGATGCCTATATTAAACACTGGAACACAGTGACAACATCTTCAACATTGAAGTGACTAAGCTAGCTCCAGAGCCATAAATAATACCGTGGCATTTGTACACCTAGGTTGCCTTCAGGACCTTTGGTGGAGGGTAGCACTATGCTCTGCTGGATGCAGCCAAACTCATCACTGCTAGGGATCTCCAGTTCTCTAAGGGAGATTCTAAAGAAGGAGGGGAAAGGACTTTGTCAAATATTTTAGGTATAAGATTCATGCTTGAGTCATAGGAACTCTGAAGCAGTATGATCCCTATTTAAAAAGAGCACTCAGGCAGGAAAGTAGACATCAGTCAGGTAGGATGAAATCACATATTTACGGTGTACTTCAGTGCTCAGTTAAATCAAGATACTTTTCCTGCATTTTGACACAGTATGGTCAATATGAGTATATACTATGATGGGACCAATAGCCTAGTGAGAAGGGTGACAACCAACCAGTTTGAAAGAGATTGGCAGTCACTGCAGCTCTAACTAAGAAAGAAATTGCACACTACCTCTCTCTTTAAAAGTGATTTCAAGATATGCCCATAAACAGCATTTTAAATACAATTACTTATTTTGAATTCATTGTGTAAAAGCTAGACTAAAGAAGTGATTTCATTCTGAGATCTGTTGTCATTTGGATGTCTTATGGCAGTTAAGTCTCTTGGCTGAGCAGACAGCTGCCAAGACAGCTCTCATCATCTTCAGTACTGCAATGATGATTTGGCTTTCAAAGGACTATAACTGCCATGGGACATCATGACAATATAACACAAGGTGATCTTGCAGGTAGCTGGAATCCATTATATCATGAATTTGAAAAAAAAAATTTAGGCAAGTCTTGAAATTTTACAAGTGTTCAGTAGCAAGTATTTAATTAGGGCAATGCACTCCTTGTGCAGGTGTTGACCTGGCATTTCAGGCTTGCTCTTCATCGGCCATAACACAGTACTCACTGTAAGATAATATTGATAATAGCATATGATCATCATTACAGGCAGGATAGGATAAGACTAGGAGTAGTACTAAACATATAGAAGTGAACATTAAAATCCATTATCTTAGTTTTTAGCTGAGGTAACTATGTTAGATGATGAGAAAATATATTCATGTACAAGGCAAGAGATAAGCTTGGATTTTTCACTGACAAAAACAGCCACTAGAAGCAAATCTATTGCAGACTGGCCAACAGGCACCACTTTCATTTTATTCCACGAAGTCCATGTAATAAAATTCCATTATATTTATTCCCACATGAAAAAATCACTTTAATGATAAAGCACATGAGACTAAGCACGACATTATGCAGAAAGTCACTTTAAGTGACTAGTTGACACCAGCTTCTGAGAGTTTTATCTGAATAGCAATTTCAAGCCAGTTCTGTCAAACAGAATGGCCAATACTTAAAAAAAAAAAAAAAAAAAAAAACACTATTACAGCAGGCGGCATCTACGATACCTGTAATGAACAGCTAAGCCCAGACTGGTGGAGGCTGTATTAGTTCTGAAAAAGCTGCCTCAGAAGGCTAGCCATAGGAGTACAAGCTTACAGCCTAGTCCTGCAGAGAGGATTGCCCCCCAGCTAGGTTTATTGGGCTGGGGGTGGTGTTTCACATGACACTGAGTTTTAGTATGAAAGTTAGTCCCTGCATTCAGCCTTTTGCTGTATCCTAGGGACACAGCTGGGGTTGACACATACTTATGCATCTCTACACTGCACTGTAGAGTCACTTTGTCAACACCAGTGTAAAGTTTCCATAGGAATGATGTTCAACAGAAACATGGACCCAGCAGTTTTCTAGGACAGATACATCTCTAAGGTCCCAGAACCAGACTGAGTCATAGTAGAGCACATCTAATCAAATTAGGAAAGGAAAGCTTTTATACATAATGATCTTAACTCAATCAGAAACTCATACAGCTAACCTCTTTGCAGAAACTGCCCATCATGTGTGTTTGTTGCCAAATGCTATTAAAAAAAAAAAAAAAAAACAAACCTGTAAATGTTTTTCAAAAGGCTGGATTTCAGACAGAAGGCTTTAGCCTGAAGGACATCTAAGGAATAGAGGTACACTTCAGTGGAGAAGCCATGAAGCTTTGAAAAATAAAAAAAACACCCAGCTAAGTGAGTAAACTAGTATAAAAATTGGCTGGACGCTGGAGATGTGGCTCTGATTTTTGTTCAATAATATATTATTTACTATTTATGATTTAATATTAATTAGTCTAAGGATTTTTAGATGCAGAAAACCTGTTAAAAGACACCAACTGACATGCATTCAGAAGCTGGAAAGCTATCTAACACTGGCATAAACTTAATTTTTAATTCTGAGAGGGAGCTTCAGAAACTAATCCATTCTTTATAGATCTTTTAGAGAAAATTTTTTGTCCAGGTTTTCCAATTGTCCAAAATGTGTTAGAAAAGATTTACAAATAACAACAGTGTGCAATTCCTTCAAACAGAATAAAACACGAGCGCCACTTGGTACATCACTTGCACAGAGTTTAGAAGATTAGGGCCCAGAGAAAATCAGCAGACCAAGAGGAGATAAAAGGTTTCCTGTTTATTTTGCTCCTTCTTCTCATAACTTGCTTTAGTACCAACAGGGTGGAATTAACTACCCTAAAACCCGTGGACCAATTGCTGGCCCTAAAGATTTCATTTATCAGTAGTGGACTGACTATGAGAGCTGAACAAGCATCTGAAGAAGCATACCCATTGTATGAATGGGAAAGCATCTGTGAAGCCTGTGATTTTGTCTCCTCTTTGGTGCTAAGCAAATTAAGGACAAAATTCCAAACCCCAAGGTGAGTTCCCTAGGAACTGATCCAACAGGAGGAAGTGAACTTGTCAGAACAGATACAGATGTCACATGAGCTGGCCACCTCAGACCTACTTTGTTCTCAATAATGAGAAGTCAACACTTTTAATGTGTGAATGATCTTATCACAGAAAGGACAACAATAGGTCAAACGAATCTCTCCATGTACATAACAGATATCCAAGGTTAGATGAGATTAAACACACCCTTCATGTTTCTGTAACAGTCATATAATAGATTCAGCAGAAACTTACTTCCAAGCACCAGCTTTCCTGAAGCTCAAAAGATTCAGCAGAATCATTATGTAATGATTTTGTAGACACACCATGACACTTCTGTCTGATAAAAATATTTGCCTGTAATATTTCATTAAATTTAAAGTTACTGTGTAGTAACTATAAGAGGTTGATGGCTGCCAAAAGCTGTGAAGTTGCTGAATAGAATGGTGTTTCTGGAGCCTTGCCCAGAGTTGAGACAAAATTTGACTCATCTTCATGCATACATTTGCAATATACCTCTAAACTAAAATAAGGATTTCACTCCATCACAAGGCTCTAGTTATATCATGTTAGAGCTAAGAGTTTATTATAATATCAACAGAAGCTTCTAAGTGACTCTAAAGAGAAAGATGATCTTCCTGTAGCTATTTTTGTTGAGATGTTTGTGACCTTGAGTTGTGTTCTCCCAGAATGCACAGGCCTCAAGCCCTGATTCAGTTGGTAGCAGGATAAGTATAATTTGAGCTCCATTTTGTTTCTTTGTGCTACCTTGGAGTATATTAGCAAATATTGCAGTTAGTAGGAAATACTGTGGTTGGGAAGGCTATGCCTGCAAAAATTTAGGAACTGTAGGATAGTCCTAGTCTCAAATAGGATTTTTAGGCATCAGTACGGTGCAAATAGTAATATGAAATACCTCCAAATGGCTAAGTAACTAATATTCCTTTTTTTTTTTTTTTTTAGTTAATCTTTTGGTATACAAGCTGAAGAGATCAGTAAATAATCTTGGAAATAAGAATTTTTTTTTTTAATTACAGAAGTAACACTTTTTCCAAGTATCACATCATCCATCAGAAGATGGAAGCATTAAACCCTATGAGTGCAAAGGAGTTCCATGAGTTCTAGTCTGTTTCTTGTATATATATAATTGGATTCCACTACTTCCAATACTTCTACTGAATAACCAAGATGATTTCAAAAATGCTTTCACTTTTACTGAGAAAAGTTGCTCTGCAGTTTTTCAGATGGATAACCTACTTAACTGCTGCTCTGTATTTTTAATAAGAATTGGTGAACAATAATATAGTGAGAAAATTATCAGCATGCATTGTTCACAATATATTATTGCATCATCTTTAGTCACAAGGCTCATACTGGTCAGTTGAATTGCAACACTTTGATCATAGAAGCATATTCTTACCATAGAGTCACTGTGGTTGGAAAGGACCTCCAGGATCATCAAGTTCAACCACCATCCCAACATTTTCCTATCCCCTAGAACATAGCCTGAATTGCTACATCTACTTATTTTTTTAACTCCTCCAGGGATGACGACTCCACCACCTCCCTGGGCAGCCCGTTCCAGTGTCTAACCACTCTCTCAGTGAATAAATTCTCCCTAATATCCAATCGAAACCTCCCCGGCACAACTTGAAGCCATCTCCTCATGTCCTATCATCAGTAATCTGGGAGGAGAGACCAACACCAGCCTCACTACAACCTCCTTTTAGGTAGCTGTAGCGAGCAATAAAGTATATGTCAACTAACACCATGGAGAAGAAAATGCTTCGAAAGAGAGAAAGGAGTTATCACTCATGGTGTTAAAACAGTATTAACAATAGCTACTGCAACAAAATACTGCCTTTTGTAATCGTTATGTACTAATACAATAGTTCAAGCCATTCTTACTATTTTGTCTAATTACTATGAAAAAAATGCAACCATTTACTCTTACCACCGAGAAGCCAGTGTGGAAAAGATGTCAGTGGTTTCAGGTTCTTGGAACAGTTTCAGAAGTTCTGGTTCAGATGATAAGTCAGCAAGGATCCTTAACTCAATATGGGAAAAATCTAGGAAATAGAGTGTTGAAATAGACCTATCGCTCAAAAAAAACCCCACCATAACTGCATTTTAATCAAACGATTACAAATTAAAATGCAAGCCTGGACTGTTCAGTCATTTCCTCACACTCAAAACCCCCAGATGGATGCAAAAAGCTCTTCTTGAGGGAACTGTATTCCACTTACAGATTACAAGGTGCCCAATTCCTTCATTGCCTCCAGGTGTCAATTAATCTTATTAGTTCTTTGTTTCTACTGATAAGTCTTGAATATCACTCAGCTCCAAATCACACTACAGAGTATACATCATATAACAATATTAATTGATACTAAGGGATTTGACAGCCTTCTAAAATATATCATCCAAAGGAGAGGGAGGAAAAGATGACAGAACTGCAAACATTAATATGCATGAGATTAATAATACATACTGTCTTACCAGCTGCTAAAAATGTATGTCCTTTTTTTGAAACAAATAACGTTCTTGGGGAAATAGTTACTATTTCTTCTTCTTTTCCTAGAGAGAAGATAGATATTTAAGTCCCAAACACCAGCTCAAAAAATATTGTGATGCAAACCATAGGAGGTGGTAAACAACACACCAAACACAGAACTAATCCCACACAAACAGCAATGTAAACAACCTAGCAGCACACCAACTGCCAGCATCACAATTATTTTACTCTATCGGTCATGTACAATATCTCTGCCATCCTTGCAGTACCACTCACTACTTCTCCTTTTCCAAAAACAATCCCCTCCCAAAACACCAGTCAGCAAATATGCACAATAACTAACATTATTCACAGTTCACTTAGTAAAGAAGTGTCTGTAGAGATGAACTGAAAAATAGCTTTTCTTATTTTCGAACATGCTGCAGCAATGTGTTAATAACCAAATTCTGAGCTACAGACTGTAGGGGAATACAATATTGAGAACATAGAGCAGACGCAGGCATCCAAATTCTCATGTCAGAAATCCCCTATGACATCACAAAGCAATAATGTACATGGACCAGGTATTAGAAACTCAGTGTACCCAGGGACTATGACTTGTCTTGGTGTAGAAAGGAATGGTGGTTTGAAATACAACAGAATTAATCTGGTCAGCATAAAAGTATATTAAAAAATTAGTGTGTTTTGATACAAGAACGAAGCACTTAGAAAAACATTTTTGAGAAGCACGTGATAAAATGATGAAGAAAACTGATTGGACTGTTTCCAGAAAGGCCTGTGTGCCACAGTTATGCACAGCAGCTCAGGTTTACACAGCCACTACTCACACATTCTTTCATAACTACTTCTGAAAAATACGTATAAAAATTAATCAGGCAGATAAAACTGCTGCCACACTTTTCATTGTCTTCAACAGACTTGTGTTTTATGACCTGTATTATTTCAAATGCAGAGAGTGAATAGCTGTGAAAAGACAAGCCTGCCCTTATCTGAGATCCAAGTGCAACAACTGAGCATTTCCCAGCTATGGCTGTAGGCATGCAAGGAGAGGAGCTTATGTTGTATCTCTCCCATATATTTGAATCTATTATTGTGGGTTTTTCAGTTTAACACTTGGGTCATGCTTTTATAGACTTTGATCCTCTCCAAATCACCTGCCTTAAATCCTCTTCTGTTACTGAAACCAACATATCTGATTAACTATTGGTGTTTAGTTGTGAGTTTGATTAAAATGACCCAGCTTTAACTTCTCCTCAGGAAAAGCCTTGGGAGCTGAATACACACAAAATCTTCCCTCGGATATTTAATGGAGCTAAAATGCATAATTTCAGCTGAAAAAAAGTAACAGTGAGATAGTTAAGGGAAACAAAAAAAATCTAAAAGTTTGTGACTATTAGGATTAGTGCTGAAACAGCAATTTTTTTTTTCAGGAACAACCAGTAAAAAGTAATTGGTTTAAATGATAATGTATAACTAAGCATCAATAATTTATTTTATTCTTTAATTCTGCAGCTATTAGTCTGCTTTAAAATATAACAGTAAAATAGTTACATAAAATTGCCTTTTCAAGTTAATAAAAACATAGTGTACCTTTTATGTACTGTTTCTTTGTAATTCTTACTGGATGTTTTGAGATACCTTGAATGTTCTACAAAGAATAAAAATGCTTAGTAAGTTAAAGTTTATGAAAACATGTTGCTTATAAACTGTTCATAAACACAAGAACATCAGTGATACTAATGTCAAGATGAACCACTTTGCCTTTCAAAGGTATCTTCATTCATGTAACTATAGATACTTTTGAAATATTTGCTCTGCCTTGAAAATTGGAAGCTTGTAAGAAAGATTTCTCACTGGCAGCCTTTCCAATTCCTGATCTCTGGATGCACCATAGAACATTATTAGTAACTAAATAAAAATAATTTTCTTCTTATTTTAACCTTTATTTTTTAGATATGGTGTATCACTTTCAAGAAAAGAACACATGTGAACCCTACCTTAAACTAAGGGAACAGGTTCTTCTCCAGTCTCTAGAAATGTTTCTAGTATCTATTCCCACTTTTTTGAAATGCACGACAAAATAAAGAAGGAGCTCTTTCCTAACTACAGCACAGTACAACAAACATGCAGGACTAGGAATAACAGATTTTTCTTTAAAGATCTGGGTTTATACACCTCCAGTACGACATGGAAGATGACACACTAGAGCTTCCTTGTGCTATTTTACATCATTATGCCTCTTCATCTAGAAAGGTAACACATGACAAGACAATGTGTTTTAACCTTGATTTTTGTAATTCCATGCAATTAATTTGCAAGTGGTTCAGGAATTAGATGAATATACTGTAATACACATGTAATATTGTGAGTTCAGGAGATGGGAATAGTGCTATATAATTTCCAAATCAGCATGATCATTTTCTATGTAATTTTAAAATCAAAATTGTTATTTTAGGCTTCTGAGGGATGTAATCAGACTGCAAAAGCTATTGAAACTTAAAGCAGAAGTAAAAGAATAAAACCCCCAAAACATAACAGTATCATTTCTAGTCTCAGTATCACCCTTAAAGATCTATAATTAAATGTGTTCAAGTTGAACTCCCATCACAGCACCATACACAGAAAGCTACTACATAATACACAATATTTTCACACCATGGGTAAATGAGGAACCCTACTCTCAATCCATCAGTACGAAGTTTGACACTTGCCATCTTTAATATTTTATTCTTCACTTTCTAGAAACTTTTCAAAGTACAGTTGTGGCAATGCTTACTGTAATGCTATTAACCATATGCACAAAACTAACATTTCTATTGACAATTATCAATTTCTATTGATAACAAGTTGGGGAGGATCATTGATGGTTCCTATGAATAACATGCAGTTTAAGAGGCTGTGGAAGAGAGCAGATCCTCAGGAGTTTAGAAAATTAAGTCTGTCATGATGTACCTGGACACAGAATCACTTTGGTTGGAGAATACCTCTAAGATTGAGTCCAACCATTAACGCTACCAAGACCACCTCTAAGCCATATCCCCAAGCACCACAGATTTTAAATACATCCAGGGACGGTGACTCAGCCACCTCCCTGGGCAGCATGTTCCAATGCCTGACAACTCTTTCAGTGAAAAGGTTCCTCCTAACGTCCAGTCTAAACCTTCCCTGGAGCAGCTTGAGGCCATTCCTCCTATCGCCAGTTACTTGTGAGAAGAGACCAGCACGTACCCCTCTACAACATCCTTTCAGGAAGCTGTAGAGAGCAGTAAGGTCCCCCCTCAGCCTCCTTTTCTTCAGATTAAGTAACTCCAGTTTCCTCAGCTGTTCCTCTTAAGACTTGTTCTCTAGGCTTAGTTCATTCACCAGCTTAGTGGCTCTTCACTGGACCCACTCCAGCACCTCAATGTCTTTCTGGTACTGCAGTGCCCAAAACTGAACCCAGTACTCGAGATGTGACCTCACCAATGAATGTAGGAGCCTCATTTTACACATCTGAAAAACCAAATCACGAGATTTTAATTCTGACTTGAATCACTTTAATGGTAGATATCATTGTATGGACTCTTCATTGGGCTCTATACTGATATTGACACATACTTAATAAGTATTTTATAGTTACTCTCACTGATTATTGTTCTTTAACTCATTAGCTTCAAAGTCCTGAACAAAGTGAAATGATGTATTTCAAAATTTGTTTACAATGGTAAAAATAAATCACTATATTGCCATCTTGTTTTCATTGACTGCATACACAGAAAGTCTGTGTTCAATGCAGTTTTAGGAGTGTTACTAATTCTGGAAAACACTAGTAAGTAATCACAAGTGCAAAATGTACTTTCACTTGTAAATGAGTTAACTCATAATTTGAATAAATCTTCAGAAGAAAAGTAACTCAAGAAACACGAAGGTGATAATGCTTCTCTAAGCTATAGGAATAGCTTAATAGACTTCTCCATCTAATTTTAGGTGTCTTTAGGCTAGTCATTTGTCTAAACCAGCTGGATAGATATCCCTCTATAGTCACTAGACAAAGACAGGAATCTCCAGTGGATAGCTCAATCTATCTGTATATGACATACAACAAGCTGACCTAAGATTCCAATGGAGAGGATGTTTTCTGAGATTTAGATTACCAAATTTGATTAGATAAATTTACCTCAGATATTTAAAAGAAGGAAGAAGAAATAAGGAGAAAATCTTATAAGAGTCTTCCAAATGGAAAGCTTTCCTCTGCTTGAGTTGAAAATTAGGTGAGAGTTTTACTGTATCAAAAGTGGAAGATTGGTGTGGCTTTGGTAAATGACTGTTACTTACTGCCTTGGACTACATAACAGTGCCTGTATTTTTGCTTTTCACAGAATCATAGAATACAAGATTGGATGGGATTTCAAGAATTATCTGATCCAACCTTTCTTGGTAAAAGCACAATCTAGACAAGACAACCCAGGACTTTATACATCTGAATCTCAAGTCTTCAACATACATTTATATATTTATTTCAAGTACATTTCTGCAAAACTTTCACAGATCCAATCTGAAATGCGACTGTTAACCATTATTGTTAGCAAAGGGCATCCACATCTTGTTAGAAGCTACAGAGAAACAAAATTGCTCTGTCTGAACAATTATGTCCCAACAGACAAGAAGGAATATACTTGAAACACTGTGATGGAAAAGCTGGTTGCGAAAGTTAGCTATTAATACTTCTCATTGCTTCTGAGTAAGTGGGGGTAAAAATGTCAAGCTATTCTAGTGGATGATTAACCAGAAAACCATTGGCTAAAAAAATATTTTTTAAAAAAACACATCATCATAATCCAAAATTAATTTCCATAGGTTCCAATGTATAAAAGGATAGATGAAGCCAATGTCTGAGTTTCAAATATATTTGAAAGGTTGTCATGATCAGAGGAGGCTCCTGAGTGCTTGCAGAAAGCAAGTCTCACTCCTTTCTTCCAGGAAAGCAAGGAGGATGCAGAAAATTGCAGGCCAATCAGCCTCTCCTCAATTCATGGGAAGGTGATGGAGCAAATAATCCTGCAAAACATTTGCAAACATATTAAAGTCAAGAAGATGATCTGGTGTAGTCAATATGGATTTAAAAGGGGAAATTGTGCTTAACCAACGATATCCTTCTGCGATGAAGTCACTAGCTCAGTGGATGAAGGGAGAGCAGCAGATGTTGTTTACCTTGACTTCAGCAAGGCTTTCAAAACAATCTCTCATAAAAGCCTCGTAGACAAGCTGATCAAGTACAAGCTAGATAAGTAGACAGTGGGCTGAAAACTGGCTGAACTGATAGGTTCAAAGGGGTTTGATAAGTGGCAGAAAGACCAGCTGAAGGCAAGGCACTACTGGAGTACACCAGTGGCTAATACTGCCTAACACAGCCACTAATGACCTGGATAACAGGATTGAGCATAACCTCAGCAAGATGGCAGACAATCCAAAAGTAGCAGGAGTAGTTGATGTATCAGGTCTGATATATCAGCTCTGCAATTCAGAGGGACCTTAAACATCTGGAGAAATAGGCTATCAGGATCTCATAGAGTTCACAGTCTGGAAAGCAGCTTTGCAGAAAAGCACCTGTGGATCCTGGTGAAAAAACAAGTTGAACATAAATCAGCAATGAGGTTTTGTACCTAGGAAGGCCAGCAGCTTTCTCGGCTTCATCAAGAAAGTGTCACCAGTAGCTCAAGAGAGGTGATCCTTCCCCTCTGCTCAGAATGCCTGATGGGAGTGTGTAAAGAAGATGGAGTCAGAGGGAGTGGTCATAAATAATTACAGGAAATTCTATTTAAACATAAGAAAAAACTGCTACTGCTCCTATGACAGTGGTCAAACACTGGCAATAGACTGCACAGACCAGGTTGTGAAGTTCTCCATCTTTGGAGATACTCAAGCCCCGACTAAACATGGTTCTGAGAAACCTGCTCTAGCAGGAGGTATTTGACTAGATAACCTGCAGCAGTCCTGTCCAAACTCAACTATCATGTGATTCTATAATTCTGTTTCTATAATATTACTATAATTGATTATCTATGTGCCAACCCATTGCCTTCCCTCTACTTCACATCATTTCTGACTCAGACAGAACTGAAGCCTTCAAAGTATGAGGCAGCAGAAAGGCATAGAAAGACTGTGGCTTCATTACCAAGCAATTTTTAAAAAATATATGTATTAGCTACATATAAAGTACACTTGTAGCATAACATAAAAAAAATCAACTATTAAAGGCAGAAACAAGTATTTTGCAGAAACTGTAGTCAGTGTATCATGTCTTAAAATGCAACCTCTGAGAAGAATTGTATTGTCTTGATTATGGAAAACACATGGAAAAAAAAGTACATTCAAACCTCATAAATAAGTTTGGCAAACCTGCAACAGAATTAGTAAGACCTTCATTGTATAAATGGAAATATCCTTTTATAAAAAAAGGTTTTCATAGTAATGTAGAACTATTTAGGTTGGAAGAAACCTTTAAAATCACCAAGTTCAACCATAACTGCCAAGTCCACCACTAAACCATGTCCCTAAGTGCCACATCGACACCTCTTTTAAACGCCTCCAGGGATGGTGACTCCATCACCCAGAGAAGAAATTCTTCCTATACCAAATTGATACCTTCCCCTGGTACAACTTGAGGCT